AAACGCCGAGCTCGCCGTCGGCGGCCTTGAGGGCGCCGTCGGCAGACTTTTGGAGAATTTTATCTTGTAGCCTCGGGAAAAAAACTCGCTGTCGGCGGCGTCGATGTCGCCATCGACGCCCTAGTTCAAATCTCCACATTTTGGTTCTTTTCACTCCAAATTCGCTCCTTTTTGCATCTTTTTGCTCCATTGACCCTAATTCATCATTTCTGCAACAAAACATCAAAAATATCTTTCTTTAAAGTGCAATATCATTAAAAATAATATAAAATAAGTATGAAAATCTCAACATATTTTCCTTTGGTCAACCCGTTCATCAATCACTTTATTTGAGAACTTGTAATAATGTTATTTATAACAAAAATGTCTTTAAATAAATTTAAAAGGATATTTGGCATGACATTTATCATTATGAGACACTTCATTTTATGGGTTCACCCTATAAATATGATAATGATCCGTTTCTTTTTTACTTTACACGTTCTGGTTTCTTTCTCTGTGCATTCAGTCTTTCTTCTTCTTTCATCTTCTAGTCACCTTTGGCTCTCTGAGATTGTTCCTAAATAATCCTCCAAGCTCTTTGGGTCGGTCAAGATTGCCAATATTTCATTCTTCATGAATTATAATGTGAAGGAGTTGTAGAGGAAGTATGTTCTTTATGACGACATTGCCCTTCAGAGGATGTCTGGGTTAACGTGAGTGACAGACAAATTAGGTAAGGATCTGGTCTTCTATCAGGACCAGTTCAAGTATGGTCTTCAGCTGCCTCTGTCTAATGAGCTCTGGAGTGTTTTCAGTATATACGGGCTCATTCCGGCGCAAGTGCTGCTAAAATCCATAGTCGTAATAATGACTTTCACCCTCTGTCATCATCAGAAGCATATTTCGTGGTCAATCGATGTGTTCGAGCACTTTTTCTCGTTCAAGGTTCATAAGGAAGGCTTCATCATGTTTTTAACGAGCAAGGAACTCCACTTGCTGGAAGTAGAGAATAAGATAAAGGTTTGAAAGAAAAAGTTTCTGACTAGTTCTTGTTCTAAGCACTTGAGGATCAAGACCAAGCAGTCATAACAAGTGGTGGACAGACCAAAGTCTCTTTCATCGAGTAGGGATGTCAACAAGGTGATGCTAACCGATCGTCATCTCTTGGTTTCACAGTACACTGCCAAGGCAACAAATAGTGCTGAGGAGCAAGATTATTGAGGAACAATGACGTCTCTAGGATACTGATGAGGCGATCAGGGCCGAGGCGGTGAAGGAGAAGCTGGCCACCAAGCACCAGAAGCAGTAGCGTCTCTCGGGGCCAAGTAATTCCTTAGAAAATGAGGACCCGCTTCTTTACAGTGCAACCTCAAGATATCTTACATCTATGTCTAAAAACACTATTGTTATTCAACATACGATGACAGGTAAGGTTACATCCATTCCTAAAAAATATGCTTCTCATTTTGTTGATGCATGGGAAGGAGACGGGAGAACATCTGTTTCTTAAGGGGTTATGAATGAAACTGCGGCCGCAGCTCCTTATTACTTGAAAACTGACATTCCACCGACTGTCATCATTCCACCATATTCACAGGTCAGGATCCTTCCTTTGTTGCCTTGTATGAAAGAGCCGAAGCTAGTCGGACTGCTCATGTTGCCTCGCCTAGTTCTTCATTGGGAGAGTCGACTTTGTTTTTCGACGATGAGGCCTCACCTTCCCCCGAGGGAAAAAAAGGCCCATCGGCGGGGAAGGAGCCAGTGGAGGAAATAAACATCTTACTTCCTTCTCCTTTGAAGAGGAGCAAGGAGGTCATCGAGCGGGGGCTCATGCACAGGGGCACCGAGAGGACGTGGCTCAGGTTTGACAAGCAGTTCGGTCTACTGAATTAGTCATTAGAATAGTACCCAAAGACAGATGAGAACAGAAGCATGTCCCCGACTTTGTTGAACTTACTATGGTATGAGGAGCTTGGTTATACCCAGGGAGGCTTCCACTACCGAGAACTCCTCTAATATGTGGATTTGTGGTAGTTGATGGTGGCGCAGAGTTCTTATTTTCTAGGGTTGGCCTTGATCGAGTTGGAAGAAGCGTTGGACGAGACTCGAAAAAAAGATACTTCATTGGAGACAGATCTCAAGAGAGTTCACGATGATCAGGACCTTCTGAAGCTCAATCTTGACAATTCCAAGAAGGATAACCAAGAATCCATAGATATTATAATGGGCTTGAAGAAGGAGAGCGTTGAGTTGAAGGAGAAGATTGCCTCATCCATTTCCAAGGAGTAGTACGAGGACAACCTGGGGACCAACTTAGGCATTGGGTGGATTACACCATTCAACGATACTTCCACCACGGTATGGTTGACGCTCTGCCCTGATTCTAGACAAGTCGAGAGAAGCTTCCGAAGAGGGAGTTTGCTCGGGTAGTAAAGAAGGATTGGTCACCCGCTAGGCTTCTGATATATGAAGACTTCTCTCTCTCTTTTTTTTTAAGAATCAAAAGAAAGACATTTATAGTCTTTTTGGATACATGAGAAAAACTTGTTAGTTTTTGGCTTGTTTGAATTTGTTTTGATTCGACTGATCGTATGCTCATCTTGTGAGTCAATCTGCTGTATGAGCTATCCATCCAAGATTTTTCGTGAATCCCATTCAGTGGGTTGTTGCCTTTGGTGAGACTCGTATCTGAGACAAATTTTGTGACTTGCCACGGATCTTGTTGTTGACGTATGTATTGGTCTCCTTCAGAACTAAACCCAAAATTTAGATATCACACCCTCATTAGTCGTCCTTTAATTTTTTGAGGACTCGTTCCATTTTAGTCGTTGACTGGGGGCCAACCATACTCATAACCGTTTCACTTAGCAATCGGTTAAAATATGCCAATTGATTGGTTTGCACAAGGACTAAGTTATCGCGCATCCCCGCTCCGTTCAATCAATTGGGCATTTGCCTCTTCTAGGTTTGTTCCTTTTGCTAAGTGCATATCTTGCTATCACCTACTAAGGGCACCCTGGGGGCTTGTTCCTAGGATGATTTGTTTCGCACTCCTTCGCGGATCTTGTCGTTAGTGAGTGGATAACCATCTCCAAAGACCTAAATTTTAATTTATTTTTTATTTTTTTATTCAACGTACCTATGCCCTAGGAATTCTAGACTTGGTAGTTGATTGTCTCCCACGATGCACCTCGTCAGGTCGAGTTCCACAAGTGTTGAGAAAACATGACCGACCGTTTCAATGTTGTTGTATCATCATATGACCCTGGCAAGTCGGTATTAAAGACATTATTAATTTGACACAAATTTTTTTGTTATTCTTTCTTTTTGTGAACCTGACCACCAAGACTTCCTGCCAGTGTCAGGTTGATAGGTGTCAAGCTATCTTGTCATAGTGAGCCCATTTGCATGCTTTTGTTGAGTGACCACCGTTGGGGCCGCTGACTTTTGCCCTATAGAAAGGGGAAGAGAGTACCTTCGCGGATTGCACTCTTAATCAAATTACTCAAAAGAAAGTTGTTAAACAAAGCGATGGAAATTGGGTTGGCTTCGTGAGGGATCGAGGGCAGGGGCAACCTTCAGTTGACGGGAGTGACGGGCCCTACATGCGCTCTATTTTAGCATTTTATTTCTTTGAATCATTTATCTAAGGAGGGAACTTTCTTCGAGTCGGTTGTCGAACGAGACTCCAGTGGGGGCCGAAACTAAGTTCGAAGTCCTCTCCCGAGCTGAGGAGGTGTTGGGCACATTTGTAAGGAATGCAATACATTCGTTCGATCATGGCTACTAGAATGGGCCCATAAGTCTTCAGATAGCAGCACCCATTTCCCCACATCTATTGTTCCTCCAAAAGAGAGGACAAAATCTAAGATGTGAGGAGAAAAGATGGCTCTTCTCCATCCGGCCTCTTTCATCCGCATGAAAGGTTTAAATAAAAAAAAATGACAAAAATGCATAACACCGAGCTGGTTGATTATATGAAGTGCTTCTCATCGTCTGTTTTTTCTCACATTTTTGCTAAAAAATCATTCAACAACTCTGTTTTAATCAAAGTAATAAAATCAGAGAATCAATATAAAAAAATTTACTTCTACAATCTCATCTCTAGCTTTAAGGGCTCTTATGGGTGGCCATATACTAACTTAATTATCAACAAATTTTAATTTTTAGAGCGCACAATTGCTCACTTTGAGATCTTACTAATTCCACATTTGAATCATTGTCAACATTCTTCTGAGCTTTAAATTGAAAAGCTTTTGAATGCAACCAACTATTTGAAATTCTTATGTATTTACATATCTAACACCAACACTTGAATATTAATATATACAACAGTCCAATCTTTAACATTACATAAAAAAAAAAAAAATCACTATAGTTAAGTTTCTTTTTTAAATGAATACACCTTTTCATGCATAGATTTTGATGCAAAAAATTCAAGCTTTATATATATAGAAATATATAAAAATCCAATCTTTAGATCTTATATATATAAATGCATAAGAATTGTGAGATATGCACGTAAGTTACACAAGAAAATAATTGGTTATTGAAGCGATGAAACCCTTTAGGTATCACGGGTTTCCTCATAAGCAGTTACAAATTCATAAACGTGCTTTATACACATGAGAATCTTGTGTGCTAGCAAAGCAAGCTCATACAAAATATGGAGCTAGAAGATGAACTGGACAGTAGCCGGAGGAACTACTTTGCTGAGGATAAATACACTTATGATACATACGGGATCCAGAACAAAGCTAGTAGTCCATGTCTTCCAATTATTGGTGTTCAGAATCGTCCACGCAGCTTATTCACGTTTTTACACTCCTCTAATGTAAGCTACGTGGTCATTTTCAGAATTCCAGATTTACAAGCTCCATCTGCTGGTCTCCATATAATATGCTCCAGCTTGCCACAGAGATACTTGTAGAACTGCATGGTGGCAAGTAAACCAATCTGTCATCAAAACAAATGCAATGGACAGCAAATATAGCATTTTTCAACTAAAAGCTTTATTGAGCGGATTTAAGCTGACCCTGTGATACTGCAAAGTATCTCCAGCAGCCTTTCTAACGTCTACCATGAAGAGTGATGGTGCAACTTCAAAAACCTGTCAATAATCATCATCTCAACAAGGTAAAGGTCGAGGCATCAAGAAATTGTTTATTGCAAGAATTTAGAAGGATATAAATCAGGTACCTCAAGCACAATAGCCAACTGGCTCATTTTGTTTGATGAAACACCTTCCAGTCTCATCTGACGTCAATAAGAAAAGCGATGTTAAATCAAATATACATAAAGCTTTAGTAGTTGCTGGCATACCCCACTTCGCAGACTGCAAGAAAAGCACTACAACGGGAAATGCATGTAAATTTAGATATAGATCGAGAAGTACCAAAATAAATTGAACTATGATTGTTTCTGCTTTGTTTACTAGTGACCACCAAATTGTTTATCAAGTAAACAAAAACATTTGTCGACACCTATAATTTCAGTTAAAGATAAATAATATGTTTCTATCATGCTAATACCAATTTCATCAAGTGGTTCACATAGTTCTTTTCTGACTGTCCCCTTAATTTGCATTTGACGTTTTTTTTCCGACACCATTCAACACCATTCAACGGGAATTTCTCCTACATCCAGGTCACATTTCTTATAACAAAGCATTCCACCGTTCATAACTTTAAAAAATAAGGAAAAAAAAAAAAGAAAAAAATTTCTCCGCTTGGGCAAGTTTGAAGTAATGTTTATATAGAAGAAAACACTCAAAATTTGCGCTCCAATGATGAGCACAAGTTTTCCCATTACAAAAAGGAAACAGGAACTCATCATCTCAAAGCATATTGCATTGTCAACCCACAGCGATGATGTTGGGATCCAGAACCAAAATCAGCGAGCAAATAACGATGAACTTGCCATAGATAAGAGGAAAAACTCAAATATGGGTTGCAATTATAAAAATTAAAGGAAAACAAGCAAGATACAATGATGATTTACTGTTCAAGATGTATATCATCACTTCCACAACCCTAGACATCGCTAGGAACACCACAAGAAGAAAAGAAAATGACCAACAAAACATGCATAAAAGAAACAAATGCTAGCCCTTAGGCACTAATACATACTCCCCAAGAGTCCCTTTCAAAGTTCCTCACAAAATCCCCCCTTAATCCCTTTCCTTCTATATTAGCGGCTTGGAGGCCCCACCCGGGCGCTGGGATTGCCCATACCAGATTTGGGCTGGGCCGGCTGGTCTGGCTCCTTATGGTCAGTCCAAACCTGGACCGATTCACGCCGCGGGAGGAGTCCCGTGCGTATCTGGGGTAAAGGGAGGAGTCCCGTGCATACCAATACTCTCTTTCCAAAGAAGAAGATTGTCCTCAAGGTGGAAGGCTAGAAATTGCTTTTGTATCCCTTCGTACAGCCCCAATGTGGCTTCATAATTTGGCAAATATTTCCACTTAATCAAAACCTCCTTTGTTCCAGTCACCCTTTGTCACACTCTTGTAACTTCTAAAGGTTTCAGAAGTATCTCCATGTCCTCTGTTAGTGTCGAAGGCAGTGACGATGAGGGTGTATGGACTTGATGACACGCCTCAGTTGCGAAACATGACAGAAGAGATGTATTGATGATGTTGGTACTAAGCTCAAACGGTAAGCCACTGCCCCAATGCTTGGCATGATCTCATAGGGATCAAAATACCGTGGAGAGAGTTTCTCGCTACTCCATCTTGCCAATGTCTTCTGCCGCTAGGGCCTCAGCTTCAACTAAACCATGTTTCCAGGCTCGAACTATATCTCTCTTTTATGTCCATTCGCCTTCCTCTTCATGATCTATTGAGCTCTCAGTAGATGTCATTAAGCTCAGCCAAGATTTTGTCCCTCATCTCCAAGTACTAATCAACGTTTGATACTGGTGTCACGCTATGTTTATAATGTATCAAGTGAGTTGAATCCTGCCCATATAATATCTTGAAAGGGGCGGTCTGTGCCACTCTATAATACTACATAATATACCAATATTCTAACCACTCAATCCACCTGACCCATAACTTCATCGTATCAGATACAAAATAATGCATCCACACTCCTGTCTCCTGTCGACCACGTATGTTTGTCCATCGGTCTGGGGATGATATGCGGTGCTTCTCTTAAGGATTGTTCCTAGTAACCTGAATAGCTCTTTCCGAAAATGGCTGAGTAACACCTTGCTCCTATCCGATCCGACACCTAATGGCTGAGTAACACCTTGTCCCCTTCCAGATGATTGTTCGAATCCTGTAGCAACTTTGCCCGTATCCTCCTTAGTCCTTCCTCTAGCTCGCTCTCCTGCCTCAGTGCTTCTTAATCGAGGACCAAGGGTACCGATAAGGCCGTCAGCTAGGGCTCCACCTTCCTCAATAAGGCATTTGTAGCTTTATTCTCCAACCTTGACCAATACTGGATCTCGAAATCCTATCCAGTAACTTGGATAGCCACCTCTGATGCTCCTAAATCACCATCACGTGCTCCAATAGATACTTTAAACTCCTCTGATCTGTTTTGACAGCAAAGTGTTGTCCCAATAGGTAGGACCGTCTGTTGACATCAACTTTCGATGTCACGAGTGCAGGGTACCACCATGCACAAATTAGGGTGGTCTACGGTTCGTCAGTAACATCCAGTAGTTCAGACACAGGCAAGGAGCTAGGGCTGGCGGAAACTTAGCCTTACCCGGGAGAACCTGCCATCAGAGGGGTTATTCGAGACGTGAGACATGCTTGGTGCCAAAATTGATGTCTAGAAGCCACCATACGTCCGTTTGGAACCTCTCATGGCAAAGGGAAGTCACGGTATCCTCCTACGTGCGCTTCAAGAAAATTAGAGTTTGAGACAGTCTACTGGCGTCGTGGTTTAGGATGACCGTTGACATCGATTTCCTCAGTGAATGACCGACAAATATACTTCGTTTCGGGGTCATGAGACTATTTTTCACTCATATGAAGTTTCCCATAGCTTACAGATCGAGACAATCCTCCGCCACGTGTTTCCGACAAAAATTAGAGTTTCGGGCTAAACTGGCGACGTCCTGAGAGCCTACGCGCCCAAAATGCCTCACCGGATCATCAAACTCGAGCCTCCAGAGGTCTGACACCTATTTCTAGCACCTGGGCATCATGCCAAGTGCCTAGGCAACAATAACGGGCGCCTAGGCAACCAAAACAAAAATAAATTAGCCACTTTTCCGAAAGCTGGAAAAGTAGGCGCCATCCATATGGCGCCCAAGGACCGAGAGCCTAGGCGCCAGTCACTTCCTAGGTCGCAATTTTGGCCATTTTTTAAGTTGTTGTGGCGCCGTAAACCGCCAGAATTGTTGGGATAGCCTCAGGACAGTAAAGAGGGTTGACTAATCCTCCATTTGCCCTCTTCTAGAAGCATCCTAAGCTTCTTTTGGGGGACTTTTTGGTCATTTTAAGGGGGGACCCTCATTTGATCGGCTAGCTTCATTTCTGCCCGAGAGGGGGCTTTGTTGCTCCCTCTCCATCTCCCTCTCCTTCTTCTTCGACGAGTTGAGAGAGCTTTGGGGAGAGCTTAGAGGTCCATTGGAGGGGCCTCTTGGAGAGACAACACGAAGGAGGGACTCCTTTTCCCCTCATCTTCTTCCTCTTCATCTCCTCCTCCCCCTCACTTCTCTCGTCTTCTTCAACATTTTGTTGAGGGTGTGAGAGGATTTTCTTGAGGAGCTTGAGAGTAAGGCGCCACTCTCCTACACCGGAGGAGAGCTTCATCCTAGCTCGGGGAAGGATCGTCGATCTTCATTGGAGTGTCGCCGGAGCACCTCAGGAACGTGGGCTTCTCTCTACCGATAGGAGAACTTCCTCTTACGTGAAGAAATGCGTTCGCGACTTTTGCGGTGGAGAGAATCCTTAACTCCTAGCCGACCCTAAGGTGAGTCAAGCTTAAGCGCGTAGGTTCGGTCACCCATGCGGGGTGTATGCGCCTACCAACATTAGTCAAGACTGCCACGCCGCCTTTGTGATAGACCATTGATTTCCTAGAGCTAGCCCTAGGTTATAAATCCCGTGTGTTAGCCATTTTTATTCGAAGCCGAGTGATTCCCCTTGTGAGCCTTAGGCATATATCCCGTTGGGTTGGAATTTCAATTTATCAAGATTTTGGAGCTCCCAACCTTCCTTGAAGGGGTTGGTAGAGTTGGGTCTCTAGGGATGGGAAAAGTTTTGTAGCTAGCCCATCATGCGAGATCGCGTACATTCATAGGACAAAAAAACTTTGTAGCTAGTTCGCCCTACGAGCAGTGAAGGACTTCCCATAAGAGAAAACAGAAGGGGAAGCACTTTACGTTGCCACACCAAAACCGGAGGCGGCTATGCCACGAATCCAAGACTGCCAACTCTAAATACCTACATGAGGTTGTTAGGTAGAGTTCGATGCACTGTCGAGAGTTTTTGGTTGCATCACGTATGCATATACCACATTGTTGCATTTTTGCATGTGACCATTTGTTACATTGTATGCATGTCTACGTGAGCACTTTGGGTTGATCGATTATCCTATGCCGATTCTCAATCCTTCTGGTTTCGATTGGCTGTCTTAGGCCAATCACCCTTTCTTCTGGGTTCGATCGATCACGTGTTTTGGGTTCGATCGACCGTCCCAGGCCGATCACCCTGTCTGTTGGGTTTGATCGGCTATCTCAAGCCGATCACACTATCTTCTAGGTTTGATCAACCGCTACGCATCGATCGCTCGCCTTGGATTCGATCGGTCGTCTTGGGCCGATCATCTTATTTTCTGGATTTGATCTGACGCTACGTGTCGATCGCCCGTCTTGGGTTCAATCGACCGTCCCAGGTCGATCACCCTATCTTCTAGGTTTGATCGATCGTTGCGCGTCGATCACTCGCATTGGGTTCGATCAGTCATCCTGAGCCGACCACTCTATCATAGCCATAACCCACTCCCGATTCCTTCCTTCCTCCTTCGTGCTCTTCCAAGTCCCTTGCATCATCCCACTAATTTTTGGCCAAGCCCCCCTTCCTCTTGGAGTCCTAAGGGAGCCACTCTTGGTGGTAGATGATGTCATTCTTATTGTCCTCTCGTTCGATCTCATTCCCCTTTGAGTTGACCAAGGATTCTCTGATCAACTCTTGGTTAGAGTTTGCAACTGGAGTGATCGGCATGGCATTGAACTGCATCTATGTGAGCAGTTTTTCACCTTCTCCCGCATTTCTCCTACGCTCTCGAACCTATCCTCCATACGGCTCTCTATAGAAGAAAACCCGCAGTCCATCGTGGCAAACCTTTCTTCCATTTCCGATCTAATTTGTCCAACTCCTTCTAGCACATCAACTTTTTTTGTTGTCAACCCTCCAAGATCTTGCTTTGATACCAAAGTGTTACCATCTGGAACCAAAACCAGCGAGCATACAATGACGAACTTGCAATAAATAGGTGGAAAAACTCCAACGAGGGAAGCTCTTACAAAAACAAGGGAAAGCAGACAAGATACAATGATGATTTACTATTCGAGAGGTGGATCGTCTCTCCCACAACCCTAGACGTCGCTAGGAACACCATAGGAAGAAAAGAAAATAGCAAACCAATAAAACATGCATAAAAGAAACAAATTCTAGCCTTTAGGCACTAAATACATACTCCGCAAGAGTTCCTTTCAAATTTCCCCCAAAAGCCCCCCTTAATTCCCTCTCCTTCTATAGGTGACCAACAGCTTGGAGGGCCCCACCCAGGTGCTGGGATCGCCTGAACTAGATCTGGGCTAGGCCGGCTAGTCTGTCTCCTTCTAATCGGTCCAGACCTGGGCCGGTTCAACCAACACAGAAGGAGTCCCGTGCATATCCGGGGTAACATGAGTCCCGTGCGTATTAGGTGAGCAATATCTTTTTGCTACTAACATGGCATGCTTTGAGTGTCTTAACAAACGTGAAAGCAACAAGTTTTAATAGCAAGGCATGCATCTAATTTTTTACTTATTTCCATTTTTTTTCTTAGTAAATATTTAAAAAAAAGGACAAAAAGATCATAATTAATATAGATGATCACTTCAAATCGTACTTCAAAAGTGAAACAAAGTGACCCGTTGATCTAGCACATTACTTTTCTGTGAACTGTAATCTCATAGTGAAGTGCGACGAGCACCACTTTTTAGTGTTATGTATGTTCGGCTCCTACTCAAAATTAAATCATAATTCATATTTTAAGGTTTGGTTCACAATATCTAAAGCAATAAATAGGCAAGATCATTTTGTTTTTTTTCATTGTTTGTTGTGAATATTGAGTTGTTTCTTATTGATTAGCTAGCCGCTGCTTGGTGTTCCTTTCTTCATGCGCACTCCCCCGTTAGCTTTTATATGCTTTTGTTAGTTCTGTTGTTGGTGCCACTAGCTTATCACCCACAAGTGTTTTTTAGGATGCTTCTTGATGACATACCTTCACACTCACTTCACACTACCATCGCTCTCAATCTATAGCTGGTCACTTATATCAGGAGTATTTCCTTGATTTGTAAAATTTTTTTATCATATCATTATTTAGATAATTTGTATTGTTGATTCTTTTTTGTCTTTCGAATAATTAGAGATTATTGTTACCTAACATTATGTTAAATTTGCTAAAAACTATTATTTAATGTGCCTTGGTTAATTAAATGACAATTAGATGCATATAATATCTATATATACGATATATAACCTGTGAATACTTTAGTGAAAATGTTTCTTAATTTGCTTTGTGCTTTATGCATTGAAGGCAAAAAGGAACCCTTGTACATTGCATTATGCTTAACCCATAGAAAATATTATCTCCACTTTTGTTTAAAGGTGATGCATTACCGCATGCCACCATTTAATACATTGGATAAATACAACAAAATACTAATCTCCGAAGCCAACTGCTTTAATAAAAATTAAACAATGTCATAAGCAGTAATGCTAAGCAAAAACGTTACCTTGTAATTTCGCGAATGAACCTTAAGACTCTCAGACTCTGCCACCGCTTCAATATTTGCAATGATTGTTTTTGCAGGATGGCGTGAAACAAAACGAGTTTGCCGCTTCACATAATCCTTAAAAAATCATTTTTGTATAGCATTTTAGAACTGGTTAAATGCAACAGACATTAATAGAGAAAAAAAATCCAATTTGATGCATGCCAACTGTTTTTGGAACACGAGTCTCCATACGAAGAAAAAAGCATTTGTGTTTGAATGAAGATATACGGGAAGTGTACATGATGATAAATAGCACAGACGATATATAATCACTAGGATACAAGCAGCAGCTCAAACATGTCAAGCCATAATATGGTACACAAATCCAACTCTCCAATAAAGTGGCAAAATAAAATAATTACAACTATGTCACTAATTCTTATTATTACACACACACACACCCAGAGAGAGAGAGAGAGAGAGAGAGAGAGAGAGGTGCTTGAATTTTTGCATTTCATTGAGAAGCTTATACCTTTATTTACATAAAATTTTAATTCCTCTATAAATAACTAATTATCTAATGATTACTCCACAATTTCACTACAGCAAAATATACAAAGTTGGCAACGTTTATATGGATGCACCTGTGAGAATACAAAAGAAATACTACAGCTTGCAGAAAATAAATTATGGATATGAATACTAGTTACCCTTCACGGATATGAATACTATTTGGACACCGCCAGTTACTCTATCATGGGATCCAACATAGAGCCTGCCATAATTCTGTTAGATTGGCAACTACAGTGTTTTCCATCACGCCAAGCTCGTCAAATAATTTGAAGACTTATTTTAGACTCAAGGCTGAAAGGGCAATTTAATCATTTGTTAGTTATTATTGTTTGGTATAAATAATGCTAAATATGATTAGGTAGGGATATGTGATTGTTATATTGAGTCTTAGGAGTTCATGTTTGGGAGAGACTCACCATCCTCTCGATTTGTAGGCCTATCCTTTATATATTCAGGAATATATTATTTTATTTTAGTGCAAGTGGGATAAAATCTATTATTTCTGCCCTAATTTCTACAAAAACTTGTCTTCCTATCAAATCGGTATCAAAGCTAAACCAGGGGGTAATGGCGGACAAGAAAGTCGATGCATAGGAAGAGAAATTAGAGAGGGGGATGAGCCAAATCAAATTAGGAATGGCAGAATGTTTCTGGTCCATAGAGGGGCGATTCTCGTATATGGAGGGGCGATTCAAAGCCCTGGAGAAAATGATGAAGAAGATTAAAGAGTTCCATGCAAACCCACCGTTGCCTGCCGTAGGATCAAACTACAATATTTGAAACCGGTCAATTGACAGCAATCAGAAGGAATTGCACAATATTAAGTTTATGTAGGGGGTTAAATTGCTGCCTTAGGAGGATCCAGAGCCGCATAATCGAGCAAAGGAATCGGAAGTGAACCCGAGCGGCACTACCATAAAGGAAATGTGTGATACCCGAATGAATGGAACTCAAGTGACAGTGAATAGAAGAAAACATGCGAAGGAGTCAGGATTGAGGGAAGTAGACGGAACGCGAGAGATATGGGCCAGGTGACGACCAAGTCAAAGAAATTTAGTTGGGAGCGATCACACGACATCAAGAGGGCTGGAGAAAATAACAAGCAGAACAGGATGGCGGCGTGCGATTAAGGGCTGTAGAAGATCGATTTGAAGGATTTTGGCTAGGAATATGGAAACACGAAAGGTGGGACCCTAGCTGAGGGCTGCATCCAACCATACTAGTGCCTTTTGTTGTGGTAATGACGACAGCCTTACAGACGGAAAGCGATTTGGAGGCCTCTAGGGATGGATGGATGCTTATGGGGCTTGCCAGCTTTTTTGAGAGAAGGTCAATATGAGCTGAGGAAAAGAGCCCAACCATTACTTTGTGGGTTGAATGAGCGTTGATTGAGAAAATTGAAGAGGAGACTCACACATAAGGAAGCTAAAGATTTTGATCTTTGAAGGAGATGATGCCTATTATTGGGTTTATCGAGTGGAGAGATACTCCACTATTAATAGACTGATAGAGAAAGAAATATTGATGAAAAATTGATGTTTGCCTTTTTCACTTTATTTCCTATTTCTTTTCTTCTAATTAGGGTTCTTTCTAGCAAGATACTATTTATATGTTTATTTATTTATTTTTTTCTTTGGAAGACTTTTGACAATTGCTAGTATTTAGAATTGTAATTTCTATTTTATGCTCTCCAGAGTAGCGTATCATCTTCTTTTTGCTAGTATATCTGTGTTTTGGTCAAAAATAGATGGTGAATCTCCTTCACCACCCGGGCCTCGCAAGTTCGTCGTTCACTTGTTGTTTTCAATTAGATAACTGTGAAAATTAAGCCAGCCTGATTGGTCAGGAACAAGTGGTGAATTTCCCTTGGCATCCACACCTCACCGATTTGCCATTTGCTTGTTGTTTTCAATCGAACAATCGTCGAAATCGGTCCAACTTCATGTCCACAACGGATTTCATCCACCGAACACCACATCCTTTTCAAGCCCTGCTAGCCGCTATATTTTCATTCCCTCATTATTCCACCACCAATTCCCAACAACATTCTGTTCCTAAACACCTTCGAGAAGCCTTAGGATGATATCAACTAAGTATCAAAGCACGACAAATCAAATTTGTTAAGATATTTGTTTTTCTTGCACAAAATCTAAATAAAAAAAAAAATCTTCATTCTCAAACTATTCCTACTACAATTCCGAGCCCAACCTTAAATTTTCAAAATTCAACTTTCCTACATCCACCAGAATTTCACCCAGACACATCACATGAAAGAAATTTACAGATGAAATGAGAGTTGCAACGCAAGTACCTACCAACACATTACATAAAAGACTTGTTCTTAAGACTTTACCACTTATAATAAAAAGACATCTTAGCAGAGTACACAATTGAGTTTAAGCAGCTTATATTGAAGTGTGGGCGAATAGAGCCCAAAGTGAACACCCTTGCTCGATATTTGGGGAGATAGATATCATCTATTGGTCACGTGGCATCTGATTGCCCAAATAGAAGGGTGATCTCAAACATTGAGCTGAGATCAATTAAAAAAATAAGCAATGACAGGTGAGATACTGAAGAAGGTGAGAACGCAAAAGAATACTAGATTTTGATGATGAAGGTAGGCATGCCGAGTCCATGAGAGGACTCCAACAGAATTAACATTAGTTGTCCTCGCAGAATTACTTGGAGAGGAAAAATTGCTTCATTCATTATTCACAAATAAGATCACACACACACACACACACACATATATATCAATCCCTCATTTACCAAACATATCTCACTTAAATTAGGAATGAAAATAAATCTGAATAAAAAATAGAAAAACATAAAATAAGAAGGAAATAACTAAATCAAAGATTTCCAAAAATAACCCAAATAAATCTTCCATGATTTGGAGGGGGTGGACGATCCTCATGAGAGAGATATATATAGAAAGAACTAAAACTTCTTATATTTCTACACTCCTCAAGCTGGGTCGCAAATATTGTAGAGACCAAACTTGATATTGAATTCTAAGAATTTACTGAAAGGAAGAACTTTGTTGCAATCAACACCGCCAATCACCTTCACCGACTCCAGAACCTTTGTGTCACGAGGTTGGTGTACTGCTCTGAATCACCTTTAGAGTAGAGCATTAAGTCCCCAATAGTACATAGGGTTGCTTCGAGTTTGTTGTCGTTGTCCTTGACTGCAGTTTTCGTAATTTCTGCAGGTAGGTGGAAGCTGTTGCAAGAAAGGAAAGGCTACAGGTAAAGTTGCAAGGAAGAATGCGGGTAAGTTGACAACCTGCAAGGATAGCTGCATAGTGCGGCTTGTAGGGGAAAAACAAACAATTGCAGGGAAGAGACAAGAAAGGGCCTATAACAGAGAGAAACTCCGACGAAGGACTAGCAGCAGGAATACTGGTTGCAGGGAGATTTTTAGAGGGTCTACTGCAGGGAAAAGCTCAAGCAGAGGGCCTGCTACAGGACAAAGCGCCAGAGGAGGGCCTGTTGTAGAGAGAATTCCAGAGGAAGGCCTGTCATAGAAAAAAGCTCCAGCGCAAAGTCTGCTATAGGGAAAAGCTCTGGTAGAGGGCTTACCGCAATTAGAAGCCCTGAAGGAGAGCCTATAAGAAGACAGGTGGTTGTATGAAGGATTTTGATAGTTGCTGCTGATGCTGAGGACTCAAGAGAGTCTGCCAGAGGAAGAGGGTTTGCAGTGAAGAGGGCCTGTAATAGGATACTCCTAGAAGTTACTCGTTCCGGTGCTCCTTACCCCTTCTTGAAAGTCAACAACCTAAAGTGGGCAACAACAAGCTCAATGAAATAAACAACGCTAAAATAAAATTTTATAGATGGAAAAGTAATAATGTGCATGCTCATATGCAATCCATATATATGTCCATAACACATGACACAACATGCTCTCTCTCTCTCTATATATATATATATAACATGAAAAGAAAGGACATGTATAGGGAACCATGACAGTTGTATAAACTATATATTTCGTCCATCTTATGTAATCATAAGCATATTAATAAAAGTCATCAATCTATTCATAAAAAATATCACTTGTAATTGTATAGGCTCAACTATTCTCATGTCATGTCATTGGGCGTCACCCAACCCAAAATCCACATTAACTATTGATAAAGGTTGGATCTCCAAATACAATAGTTATCAATAGCCACCCTGATGGACGAAAACTTACCGCGAAGTTGGTCAATCATGCAAATATATTTGTCAAGTAATATGTGATCTAAGAGTTCGTGTATCGATCCCACAAAGATAGTGTCAAAATATTCCTAACAGACAAAGTTCTAATTTAGTAAACCGCTAAATGTAGTTGAAGCGATCAGATTCAAGAGATGAATCTAACAGTTCTAAAAATACAATAACCAGAAATAACAGGAAAAGTGCAGAGTTCTTCAGAAATGCAAGCATTGTACTCCCATGATGCAGATTAAGTGATTTATTAAGGTTTTTCTAATGAACCCACATAATTGTTGATAATCAGAAATAAAAGGCTTCTTCTTATGCCTAGGTCTGGGTCAAAAGAAGAATTAGAAGTTA